AAATCTGCGTTCGCTGGCTGGCACAGAGCCAGAGACACGCACGTTTTTAAAGCGCTGCGCATTATAACCAATCCCATACTATTATGTTGAGTTTATGAATGCAAGGACCAATCAGAGGCGTTCAGATGAGTCACCGCTTAAACACGCTGTTTCGTCACCGCGCGCGCTGGCTGACTGAATTCTCTGGCTAATTATCTCATCAGAAACAACAAAAGGGAAGATGTACGAATGTAAGTAAGATATTAATTTCACAGTGTAAACAGCTTTAGAGATTATTATAGGAGTTTCTGAGATTGCTTGATCTCGCTGGACTGAAGGGGAAATGATCTTTGATAATGTAAAGGTTCTTTGCTCTCTTTTTGTACAATCAAAGTGTTATAGGCTAATTAGTAACTATTAAACTAACTAATTAGTAACTATTAACTATATTTTTATTAAATTCACATTAAATACAAAGTAAGTTGTATTAAAAATATGTTATGGTATGACACCCGTATCTGGTACTTAAAGGTGACATATCATGAAAATCTGACTTTTCCAGGTTTTAAGTGCTATAATCGGTTCCTGGTGCATCTACCAGCCAAGGAAACGTGAAAATATTAACCCAGTAACTTTGTTTTGGTAAGCCTTTTTCTGCAAGTGTCTGAAAAACGAGCGCGTCTGATTTCGCTCCCTTGGTGATGTGGCAAAGGGATTTCATTATGATATTACCGCCCCTTAATCTGTAAGTGGGTCTCTACTGGTAATTGGTTGCCTTCTATAGGTGGCTTGTTAAAACCAATAAATCCTAATGGAATATGTCCCAAAACAAACTACAGTAAACCATTTTTAATGGTTTTAATGGTTAAAAGTTGATGGTTTGTAATGTTTGTAATGGTTATTTGTAGTGGAAACCATTAACATTTTCTGTGATGATTTTATTTTATTTTTTCAGTAGGGACATAAGCCTATATCAGTTATACAGTGGTATTGTAGCTGCTGTGTGTCACATGATAAGCATGAGAGCCCCCCCCCCACCCCCCTTCACTCGTGCTCCCTCAAAAATAATGAGTGCATGATGCCCCAGACACTACAATACAAAATTATTTGTCAAATAAATGAAACATAATGAAACATTCATTTTTAGTTGAAATTGTTATAGATTACTTCTAGAGATTGCAGTGATACATGACATGGTGAAAAATGACTGAATGAATAATACTTAAAGTATGTTAAAATGAATTTTAAAATTGTGCCCCCTAAAAGCCCCCCCCACCACCACCCCACAGTTACTTTGGTCTAGAACCGCCCCTGAACTTCTCTATCAAATGTGGGCCAGAGGCTGCAGGCATCTGCCATTAAGGTGCAGTACACAAACACTTTCTTTCGCTTTCTCTCCTCTCTTCTTTAGGCCCTAAAATGTCATCTTGACATTTATAAGTGTTTCAGGGGAATACCCGTCGTCTGTTTCCACCCAAAGCTCTGTGTCCATGAGTGAGGGAGCAAGACTGTGTGCAGCTCTGATTGACAGCTAGAGGTTAGTGACGAAGACTGTGCCAGATGCAGCACTCCCCAGAGTCCAGGCGATCAGTGCAGCTGTAGGTGGAGCATGCAAGATGATTCCTGTGCTGCAGTTTACTTACTTGGATTATTGATTCTGACAGAGTTGACTGATCAGACATGTATGAATGAATGTATTTGTGCATCTTGAATTGTCTCTTGTAGCAGTAGGTCTAAAACATAATGTTCAATGAATCACTTGACTCACAGAACAGCACATTTGGAATACTGGATCTTTAAAATGCGAAAAAGACCTGGATTTTAAATGGTCTTTTAATCGCATGGTAATGTTCTGCGGGAACAAACAACTATAGCAAAGGACTAAATGCTACAGCGTTATGCTTCTATGCGTTATGAATCTGCTTCACATTGTATTTTTTTTTAATTGGAAATACTTAATAAATTACTTACATTTTCCAAATTAAATTAATGTATATTTGTAAATGGGTAAAACAAACAATTTGTATTATTACATATAAAACTGAATCATTTATTATATATTTAAACACGAATGAATGAATTTGTTTATTGTATTTACTAACACGTCTTCAAGGGGGTTAATGGCAGCACTGCAAACAATTTTTTGTGGAAAACCAAATACTTTAAACAAAAACACAATATTAAAATATAATAATATTGTTTAATGGCCTTCCAATGTAGAGCAAGCAAGGGTTCCAAAAACCAGTCAGTATCTGGTGTGACCACCATTTGCCTGGGCTGGTGTGGTTACACGTGGTCTGCGGTTGTGAGGCCGGTTGGATGTACTGCCAAATTCTCTGAAACGCCTTTGGAGACGGCTTATGGTAGAGAAATGAACATTCAATTCACGGGCAATAGCTCTGGTGGACATTCCTGCAGTCAGTATGCCAATTGCACGCTCCCTCAAAACTTGGTTTTTTTTGTGCTGTGTGATAAAACTGCACATTTTGGAGTGGCCTTTTATTGTGGCCAGCCTAAGGCCCACCTGTGCAATAATCATGCTGTCTAATCAGCATCTTGATATGCCACACCTGTGAGGTGGATGGATTATCTCGGCAAAGGAGAAGTGCTCACTAACACAGATTTAGACAGATTTGTGAACAATATTTGAGAGAAATAGGCCTTTTGAAAAATTCATAGAAAAAGTCTTAGATCTTTGAGTTCAGCTCATGAAAAATGGGGGCAAAAACAAAAGTGTTGCGTTTATAATTTTGTTCAGTGTACATTGAAAAGTTCTGTTGTAATGCTACTCTGTGCGGTCGTCATCGGTCTATTAAAATGCACAACATATTAAAGCGTCTTTGGTGTTTCCATGTTTTCTACAAAACAAAACGGAAAAATGGAAATCGAGGGGTTATGACTTCATTGGCAGGCAATGACACTATGGACACGGTCCGTGTCACTAGTTAAAATTGCTTATTTCTCTGGATTTAAAAATTCTTTGAAACATTTGGGATAATGTAAGTACACAAGTCAGCAAAATATATAACACTGTTATCTAGTGGTTTTTTGATATTTTAATAAAGAAAATCTTACATATTGTGCCTTTAAAGTAAGAAAATAAATGAACCTGGTATTTTACACAATATTATAGGCCAGGCTTAAATAGTACCACTACATTATAAACAATATGTAAAGAAGTCACATCTCTGTCTCACTGTCCATCAAAGGGTCCACTGAATGGGTTCAAACATTTCTTGAAATCTCAGGTAAACAATTTGGGGTTTCGTTGACAAAATGATTTGGAAACTTAGAAACTCAGAGGGTTCCTTCTGTAACATTTGTTTTAATATGTAGTGCTTTAGTTACCTTGTAGCTTGTTGGCCAGACCCAGCAACATTGCAGATTAACAGAAGGATCTTTGGAGAACCACCCTGATTCAAGAATTCTGACGATAACGTCCCTGAGGGTGGTAACCTGTGACCTTCGGGCTCTGCAGTGTATGGCGAGGAAGGGAGGGAGTGATGGAACCCTACAAAAGATAAAAATAAATAAGCATGTTATTAAACACTCTTAGTGTTTTAAAATAAGTGTATAATTATAAATAACTAGAACTTTGTACATAGAGTTTTTCAAGCCTTCAAAAACATAAGAATATAAAAAGGAAGGTCAATTATGTTTCATACATTTACAGTAGGTACAATTCTGCAGCATTTTCATTTTTACATTTTTATATGTACTCCACTTTGCATCATGCCTAATACTCTCTTAGCTGTTCTAAAATCACTGTAAAGCACAGCTTCTTGGGGCTTACTGCATTAGCACTGACACTGAATATGTAAACGTAGGTGGTCACACATTAATGTGCTCTTGGTGATTTCAGTATATGACTTCTGAATGACCCTTTTTTGCAGCTTAGTGGTTTGAATGGAAAGTGGAGGGAGAATTGTGACTGTTATAGTACGTAATACGCTGTCTTACTTCAGAAGATCAGTCGTGTTTTTTATAAGTTGTGAAAAACATTTGAGTTTAGCCTTCCAATTCATGTACAGATTCGATTCTACATACAGTATGAATACAGTTTACAGATTACTGTATGACAGACACCAAGTAATTCTGGATAAATATTGGTTCTCTTTAGCAATCCAATGAGATATCATGTTTAAAGTACTTATGTATCTTCCTTTCATGGCAGGATGGAAGTGGTTTCTCTCTCACTATCTGATTCGCTTTCTATCACACACTCACAGCAGGCCTCAGTCGTCAGAGGCTCATCTGAGGGCCAGCTGGAGCAGATTGAAGTGGGGAACTGTGAGCTTGTGAGAGCCTTAATTAAACCTGGCCCTCACTGACACACACACACACATTTCTCACTTTTTCAGACACAAACACACTAAGACCAACCCACAGTTTGAATGCCTTTGTAGAACAATGCAGTTCTTTTGAATATGGACAGAATTCTTATGTTCAGTTTTGTAAAAATGTAGGGTGAGGACTTGGATCTAGTAGAGGCAGATGAACTGAGTTTGAAGGGGCATTGTTTAAGCAGACTATGTGGATAAAGTTGGACATTCAGTACTTATGTTCAACTTTATATAAAGATCTGGGCGATAATAATAATGCGATAAAAAAAATCAGGCAGTTGAGATATGCTATATAGTATATATCATTTTATGCGACTGTACTGTATAATATATTTATTACACGGCTCTGTTTAATACTTGATTCTGATTGGTCAGTCGCGACATTCTGAGGTACAGTATGTTATCCCTTAACAACAGGTAAAAGCTGATAACACAGACTCATCCGGGTAACTGAAGTCGGCGCTATACTCTTGCTAGGAACAGTTTTTCTTTGTGGAAGCTTTGCGTTTGGTTAGCTAATAAAATATTAAAACTTGATTCAATATTATGTGTGCAATTATCTAATTATGTCATCCTGGTATCGCGGACTCGCTCTCTCGTTTCATACAAACGCAGCTGCTGCCATTTTGCGACTTCCACAGTGTAACAGAATGACAGTGACAGAACAAAAAATACAGATAATAAAAAATAAAAATAAATTAAAAATTAAAAATAGAACAAGTAAATAAGGAATAAAAATATATAAATTGACAGTTGTATGTGCAGGTATATTACAATAGACAGTTTTGTATGTACAGGTACTGTATATTATGTGCAAATTTGAGGTGTAGACTGAGTATGTGTGTTAGATAAATAAGTGTATGAGTGAATAAATAGTGTGTGTTCCACAGTTATTGTTAAGTGTTCATGAGCTGGATTGCCTGAGGAAAGAAACTGTTCCTGTGTCTGGTCGTTCTGGTGCTCAGTGCTCTGTAGCGTCGACCAGATGGCAACAGTTCAGAGAGGGAGTGTGCTGGATGTGAGGGGTCCATAGTGATTTTTTTCCAGCCCTTTTGCTCACTCTGGATGAGTACAGTTCTTGGAGAGAAGGGAGGGTTGTACCAGTGATTCGCTCAGCAGTCCGGACTGTCCTCTGTAGTCTTCTGAGGTCAGATTTGGTAGCCGAGCTGAACCAGACAGTTATTGAAGTGCAGAGGACGGATTCAATGATGGCGGAGTAGAACTGTTTCAGCAGCAACTGTGGCAGGTTGAACTTCATCAGCTGGCGAAGGAAGTACAACCTCTGCTGGGCCTTTTTGACAATGGACTCAATGTGATTGTCCCACTTCAGGTCCTAAGAGATAGTGGTGCCCAGGAACCTGAATGGCTCCACTGTCGTTACAGTGCTGTTCATGATGGTGAGTGGAGGGAGAGCAGGGGGGTTCCTCCTGAAGTCCACTATCATCTCCACAGTTTTGAGCGTGTTAAGCTCCAGGTTGTTAAGACTGCACCAGACAGCCAGCTCTTTAACCTCCTGTCTGTAAGCAGACTCGTCACCGTCCTGAATGAGGCCGATGAGTGTGGTGTCGTCTGCAAACTTCAGGAGCTTGACAACAGAGGGGTCTTTAGAGGTGCAGTCGTTGGTGTAGAGGGAGAAGAGCAGTGGGGAGAGGACGCAACCCTGGGGGGCGCCAGTGATGATCGTACGGGTGCTGGATGATAATTTTCCCAGCTTTACTAGCTGCCTGTCTGTCAGGAAGCTGTTGATCCACTGACAGACGGAGGTGGGCACGGAGAGCTGAGTTAATTTGGGCAGGAGGAGGTTTGGGATAATAGTGTTAAACACCGAGCTGAAGTCCACAAACAGGATCCTCACATAAGTCCCTGGTATGTCTAGATGTTGCAGGATGTAATGCAGTCCCATGTTGACTGTATCAACCACAGACCTGTTTGCTCTGTAGGCAAACTGCAGGGGGTCCAGTAAGGGTCCAGTGATGTCCTTCAGATAAGCCAAAACCAATTTCAAATGATTTCATGGTCACAGACGTTAGAGCCACTGTAATGGATTTTAAGATCACTAACAACTGGTAAGATTTTAAAACAGTTTTGTCTTAAATCAGTATCTTTTATCGCCATAATTCTTTATGTGATGAAATGTTGTGTAATAAGTGTTTTGACTGCACTGTTTCCCTTAATTGTTCGTTTAGTTTGAACTTGCCGCTTGCTAGCAACTGCTGTGTTCACGGAAGCTTTGCATTCAAATATATCAACTCAAATCAATATTTTGTGTGTAATTATTTACTTATGTGGCAAGTAGCCATGTAATAAGAGGGATAATGTACATCCAGCCGGTTGTTATCTCAGAATAACCCCCTTCAGGGTGATACAAGACCAATCTGCTGCGCGTCGGGGTCCTGATTACCCTGTCGGGGGTTATTCTATGATAACAACCGGCTGGATGTACATTATCCCTTACATAACATATATCCAACTTTATATATAAAACTTTGCAATAATTCGATTTTCATTTTGATTCATGCAGCCAAGATTTTCTATAATATTGCTTTACATTAATATACCGTATGTGTGTAGGTAAGGATGTATTTTATGTCCAACTTTGAATATATCACTGGCCAATTATTTATTCTTACATTTTTTAACAATATAACAATAAAGCATTAAATAAGTTAATTGGTTCACTTTAAGGTCATGGGACTCTTAATAATATACTTAACTTCAATCACACCATGACTCAGTACAATACTTCGAAGATGAGAAAAGCTTTAACATTACTTTGTTACTAGAGTCATGTGTTTGACTGTAGCTTTAAAAGAACATTTCTGTCTCAATACCTCGTACAGCACTTGTTGCATAATGTTGATTCGTTTTGACTTGCTTACAAGCTTAACTTATATTTAACCTGGGCTATTACTTTAATTCCACCACACTAGAGTAGATACAGGATGACAGAAAATCTCTGAGGAAGATGACAACTCTAATAGCAACATTAGATATTAGTAATTTATTAACGTGGCAGTAAAAGAGCAGTCCATGCAGAATGAATTCTTCACTGGTCTGGGCCAGAGAATCCAGACAATACCTGGGAGCTCTACAAGAGCATTACACACCAACAGAGAAGTGGAGTGTGTTTTTGCTCAGTTACACATGACCTCACCAAACCTCTATCAACTTAAGTTTCAGAGAGACCCAGATGTAAGCTGATCTAAGAACCTTTCAGACAGATGACCCTCTAACCTCATCTGTCAATCACATCTTCTCAAGGGAGAGCACTTGGTATATGCACTGGAAAAGAGGGCAAAGAAATTGTACAGTACCTGTTACTCAGACCGGGCCATCTATTTAATTTATACTTGAGCTACCATAGACTTTTAAAATGCTAGTATTGTGTGTGTGTTTTTTTTTTAATCTGTTAATTGGTTGACTGTAAGTTACCTTATATACACTGAAAACTTGTAATTATATGTTAATTCACTGTAAAGTACTGTCAAATTTGTGTTTTTGCAGGTATGAATTACTGTAGAACTGACAGTAAAGAAAGTAAAGAAAAGAATTTTATATAAACAGTTTTGTTGCATTATTACTATTATTGTTTGCATTATTACTATATTGTTGCATGCTGTATAAATATATTTTGTTGCATTATTTTAGTGTCATGTGTTTTGATTTGTGAACCATGATTTTGTCTTTGTATGACATCCTAAAATATGTTCAATTTGAATTTCTGGCAACCACAGCTGACAGTTTTTTTTACTGTAAATTCAACAGGATATTTTTTTACAGTTTAGACTGTACTGAACACTTCTACAGTTATTAAAACAGGAGGTTAACATCTCAATGACACTGTAAAGAGATTTAATAATTGAACAGAAAAATTAGAACCAACAATGACTACACTGTTAAAGAGAGAGAGGGAGAGAGATTTCTTAATTGAAATAAATAAATAACCTAACATAATATATATATAGAAATTATTAAAACATAAATTTACTTAGGAAGCAACAATGCATAAGATAGTAAGAACTGCTTTTACAGACTAAATCTTGAAAAAAAATGTTGATGCAGTAAAACGAAATAGATTTCTTATATCTTAATAAATTATTTATGCAGTGTTACTTTTCATCTCGAAATGTATGGTTTTATTTTTATTTTATTTTATGCATGTGCGTCA